ATAAACTGAAGCTTTATATTTAATGAATAAACACCTCAGGAACCTCCGCCTATGATTTTACGAGTTTTACGACCGTTTTATGACTTGGGCCCTCATTTTGTGCTATCGACAAATTATGAACGGACTATAGTCAACATCTTTACACTCTGTTACAGTTAAGAAGAGTTTGCTGATCAGAATTGTATAACATTAGAATTTTTTTGATATATTACAGTATTTTAACTTCAGTGTAACACAGAGTAGTGTATTTTTGAGTCCAATCGCTCGTGAGAACACCGGCCACTATGAATTATGTTGAAATAATGTAATAAGAACGAAAAGATTGAAATTTTTTCCGAAAAAAAATTATAAATTAAATAAACACTTAAATTTAAGACGGCAACGCTTTCCTTTTATTGAATTTTGAAGATAAATAAATTAAATTTGGATACTGTCTTCAAATTACCTCATCAAAAGTTTGTTGTTATCTTAAATTGATTATACAGCAACTACTCTCAAGTGCGAATAATACTTGAACATGTACTCGCTATACAAATGAATATCTCAGGAATAATCTTCCTTTCGCAAATGAGCATCCAGGCAAGTGCTTGATTGACGTCATTACAATTACAGTAAATCAGAGCTAACAATGCCGAAGTATATACATTTTCGTGATTATCAATTAGGTTTGATTTAACACCGCGTGATTTACCAGTAGCATCGAATATGTATAATCAAGCTCACTTTTAATTCCGTCTATTTGCGCAGATCCTTTGTGGGGACTAATGAAGAGAATAAATGAGGGCATACATCACAGATAATCATAGAGAAGATCTAGTTTTCGCTAGAGCAACTGAGAAAATCACCGAAAGCCATATGTTTCGAAAAGGCTAATATTCCGAAGAGGACACGGTATAATCAGCAGCTACCAACTGAAGTGTCAGTTCAAGTTAGTTGATTTATGATCGATTCTTCAAGCGGAAAATTTATTGAAAAAAAAAATGTTATTACGATTTTAGTTTTTTTATTAAATGATACAGTTTCTGACAGTTACCTTTCACATTTTTTCCAGTCGAGAACTGCATCAGAAACTATTCAGAACTATTCAATACCTTTGAAACACAAATACTGAAGTTTTTCGCAAATCACACACTATCAAATGGTGGCACTGTTAAACTTCTTGGAATAACCTTGGACAACACAGCTCTGCAAGAAATTTTATGGCCTGCAATATATAAAGTTTTATCCTATTTTCTATCACACACTTAATAAATTCACAGATCTGCCTCTCAACATATTTCGCTAATAAACTCCGTTAACAATTTACCTGTCTGACTGCCTGCTTGACAACGTTTATCTATACTTATAATGTTTTATGCCCATGTGATTTTTTTTGTCTTTTAGTGCATACTGTGTTCTACTAATTTATACATACAAATTGTCCACACCTCATGTCCTGCTACGAATGTAATTTTTTATATAACGTCGTCAATAAACATCTATTTATGTATCTATCTAGAAAAACTAATTTTGTTTGGGGACTCTTCATTCAAAACAAAGTAATTTAATAGCCTTCTACAATGTCAGTACTTTCCTTTTTCTTCAAAATAAAGTATACAGTTTTCCATGAAGAATGAAAAATAAAACTTTTTATGTTTTTATATCACTTGTATTTGTAACTATCGTTAATGCAGTTCCATCCTGTATGGACATTTTCAAGCTAATACAATAAAGTCTTTTTTTGTATTACTCAGTTACAAATAAAGTAGTAAAAAACAAAGTTCTATTTCTCATTTTCCATGTTAATCGTCTACCACGTAGTAACGGGTACATCCACCAATTTATTTTCAGTGTTTCTCTAATAGACTATTGTGGATACCTAATTAGCGATTTCTTTGAATTAGACTATATCGATTTCTCAGATTTATTAAACAGTATATTTTCTTGTTCGTATGTATCTCTCCTCGATAGTTTTCAGATACGTTTTTGATACTTTCTGACATATATTATTAGGAATCAATAAAGCATAACTCTGATAAAATCATACTTCACAAACTCGAACCTCAGGTGTACCTCATCTTTAAAAAAATTGCCTAGTTCTATTTTTCAATCGGTTAATTGTTCTTTCTAAAGAATTTCTATAAATACAAAAAGGAATTTCTATGCATGAACATTCCATTAAAACAATAATAATTCTCGCATAGCTAATGAAACATTTATCAATATTCAGTATTTTCGAGAAACCGGTCGATCTATACAAGAACATAAAAAGTCGCTAATTAACATTGAAAACCAGGTCCGCATACCAAAAACTTTCATGACAGATCCGTAGAACTTTAAGTTACAATATTCATCTTCAAAGAAGTCATTAAAACACTACAAAACATCGTAAAACATTTTATTAAAAAAATATTGCACATGATGAGATACATTTGGTAAAAATATATTACAAAAGGAACATAGTATATTTAGAAACAAAAAACTTTGTGTTAAAACGTAACTGGAAGTATTAATTTAATGCTTGTTTCGTGAACATATACACCATTTGGAAAATAAATAAATCATTCAAAATAAATAACAGCCCTGATAAAATATATATGTATGTACACTAAACCCATTTTCAATCTTCCATTAACAAAGACTTGCATTCCACCTCATTCCCCTTGCACCTTTTAATTTTTTGATAATTTTCCTGCCTTCTTCCAAGTCTATAAAATTACAAAAATCACAAAAACAACACAAAATGTGACACAGCAAGAAAATCTTTGTTTCTGTTACATGTAGTTTTCACTACTATTGATCTAAAGCATAATACTCATTAGAAAATGTTACTGAATTGGTAATCATGACATACATACATTATTATTAATTATATTTTCTGTGTTAACATGTCACGCTCTTTAAAACTCAAATGTTCTCTATAATTTAGAGTAAAGGAATTTAAACAGAAGTTGAACATAATTCCCCAATTTATTCAGATTCCCACGATTCTGGTACTATTTGTATGCATAATTCAGCAATAACAAATGAAATGAGTGATTTAAAACAGGTGAGAAAATAATTTATTTGAAAACAATTTATTTGAAGAACTAACTGCCACCAAATATCTGAGCTGTGGGAAAATCAGATAAAAAATATGTTTCAATACTATACTAAATAAAATCTAAACAAAACAGGATCTGTGAAGCGCATCATTGAACAATGTACAAATATTCTATACAAAAATACATCCATCGATTCAAATCGTTGGCCAAAACTCAAGTCATAGACATTTGAGAAGAGCCAGGTATATAAAAAACCATATCTAAAATTGAAAATATCAACATTAAAATATTGCACATAATATTCTTAATGATTACTAATATTGCACATAAAAGTCTGTCCCGACCTGACGGGAATAACTGTTGGTTATTTCCAATAAATATCAGAAATATTCCAGAAATTTCAAAATATTCTATCATAACATGTGATTTTATTGCGTTATATGATAGTTGAAAATCAGTATTAGTGGTACGTTGAGAGGTAAGACCTCGTTAATCCTCAGCTCGCACAAGTTTTAACTTTTGAGGATTATCTTGAGAGGGTAGCAGATTATTTTAAACAGATGTTTCTCTGGCAGTAAGTCAAAGGAGTAATTTTACGGAAAAAATAATTCCGAAGTTGAAATAAACGATACCGGTTAATGTATGAATATTTGATTTTCAATTTCAATTCATTCAAAATAACTTTCAGTATTCAGATGTCTCATACTGTATATTATTTACATAAAATACCAGGCGCAATGTAATAAACGGAAAAGTAGTGGTAGAGAATTTGATTTATAAATATTGTAGTCAATCTCGAAATAGATTTCAGGATTTTCAGCAAAAATTCCCGTTTTTAACACTTGCAATATTTCGGATATTTTGAAGGAAGATTCAAACTATCCTTGTGTGTGATTTTTAAATATTCGGCAGTGTTCAGTTATAACGAAAGTTCAAAATACTGACATTTCTGTCTGTTTTAAAAAAAATCTGTTTCAAAATCTGTTTTTCCGTTAACCAGCTGTCGCCCCCATATGAACAACTCTCAGAAGTTGAGAAACTTGTGCGAGCTAAGGACTAACGAGGTCTTACCTTTTAACGTGTGATTTCTAACACGAAATTCCTATTTATATACTGAAATGCATTTATTACTATCAAATTGAATTTATAAATTCACTTCAATCCCAACCAGTTTATTATTGATTAAGTAAGTTATTGTGAGAATATCAGTGATAATAATTTCACTGGAAAACTAGCGTTATTATATTGCTTTTACTGAAAGAAAAATTATTAGTTGAAAAAAAAGGCACTTCTCATCTGCTTCTATAAATTAGCAAGTTGAAAAGTCGAAAGTAAAAAGAGCATAAAGAAAAAAATCTGTTGCTTCTTTCTTGAACAAAACTCCTCTAAAAATATTAGGAGGCTACTGAAGAATTTTAGCCAATATTCAAAAAATAATCCGGAATCATGTTTTGAAATTGTCTTTTTCATCAACAGTAATACCACGAAACCCCAAAATATTATGGATAAGTTTCCAGCTTTAACGTAAACTGTCCTACGAACTCGTGATTTTATTTATTGCTAGTTGCCTAATTGGTATTGCTGAAAAGTAACAAATTCTCAGTTTGAAAAAATGGACATCGATATCTGAATAACGAAAAATTTCAGCTAGAAACTATGTATCTACAATGTTCGTACAGAGTCCGTGAATAACCAAACCCGTATTTCTCAACATTAGCCGACCTACTTGACGCGTCTAGATATATCACCAATACGTCGCGTATTCTTTTCGAATTAAAATCAAAAATTCCTTAATAATCCTACGAATTTGTGATTTTATTTATTGCTAGTTGTCCAATATTGCTCAAAAATAACAAATTCTCAGTTTGAAAAAATGGACATCGATTTTTTAATAACGAGAAATTTCAGCTAGAATCTATGTATCTACAATGTTTGTACAGATTCCGTGAATAACCAAAAACCCGTATTTAACAGCATTATCCGACCTACTTGACGCGTCTAGATATATCACCAATACGTCGCGTATTCTTTTCGAATTAAAATCAAAAATTCCTTAATATACTAACAAATTTATATTATGATCTTCAGATATCTGTATATCATGTATATAAATTGTTAGTATTCAATGAGGAGTTTGGATTGAAGAATTGTTCTCTCATTTTCGTGAGATTATAGGCGTTTTCTGGCGTTGAAACGATGACGTCACATCAACTATGATTTGAAACGTATTCATGACGATTCACAACTAGCGCGAGGTTGGTTTTGAAACGGAATTTGACGTTAAATTACGTCAGTTGTCAGTTCATGCTTTATTTTGGATCGTTATAGTTTGTGAAGTGCTGAAAAATCTTTATCAGTGATGTTGTAAGGATGTACAAAATGAAGCTGGGAAATTATTACTTGCCTGAATCTGTAAAACTCTATTTTGTAATGGAATATTTCTGAAACTCTTAAAAAACTCCCTCTAATCCCTCTGCAATAGCTCGTGTAACGCCGATATGTATGTCTGTGCCATCTGCAAAGTCTCAAACTTGGACAATTTCCTATCGTTTCCTAGCGAGGGTACAACGTCCCTCAATCTATCGAAAGCGTCATTCAAACTGTTCATCCTCCTTCTCTCTCTGGCGTTTGCCGCCAACCTCCTCTTCTTCATAACCTCCTGCCCCCCAGAGTGGGGTAGCTGACCGCTGCTTCTTCTACTGCCGTCCTCCTTCTTGTACCTGGTGTCGCTGTAGTAGTCCTCGTTGGAGTAGGAGGCCACCGCCCCCGAAGAACCCACCCCGTGTGACTTGTATTTGCAGTCATACTTGCTGTAGATGTTGTTGTTCTCCCCGTAGTTGCCCCAGTCCTGTCTGGAGTAGTAGTTGGGGGTGTAGGGCTGCGAAGACATGCCCGGGTCCGACGCCGTCGATCTGGGGCTGGACGCCGTTAGAGCGTAGTGGCTGTCAGGGGTTGACACCCTGGGTGACGTGCACCCGTCGGAGGTTGATTCTGCCGAGTGGTGCTGCAGGTACATAGTGCACGGCTTAGCATAGCTGAGCGGTTTCAGGAGCTTCCGATTCGGAGTTTGAAAGGCTCTTGTTATAACTGTGACCTGTCCAACAACACGTAGTTAACTTTACAAGAAACAATAGCGAAAGGAGTTGTAGGTGCCAATAACCAGAAGATATATTTCAGAATATCGCAAAGAGCGTAATAGGAATGTCAATAAGAGATAACATGACCCTGGATTGAGGAAAATAATGACAAGGAACAGTTTAAATTATCAATTGAACAATAGACTTTCGGTTTTAGGAGTTGTATTGAGGAAATTGGAACAGGATAATACATATAACTGAGTATGACGTATGCGAATATCAATATCAATGATGGGACTATAACTTAAGCGAGAAAAATAAGATGAAAGTAAGTTTATCAATTGTCCAGTTGCTTAGGAATTCAGGAAAAATCAAGAAATTTACGGCCAAGTACTAAAGATTAAGGTGAAAACATCATCGATGATGAAGATTTCCTCAAGTTATTGAAGGAATATGAATCTGTTGACCATTTCCAGGAAAACCATTGATTTGATATCAGATTTATATTGAAAGTTTTCCGCTAAAACGGTGTTTAAATTTTTTTTCTAATAATTTCGCTTCCAGAAGGTTCAGAATTGAGATTTTGAAGCTTTACGGGCACAGATTTTTGAAAAAATTATAAATCAATAATCTGCATAATCCATAGTGACAAACTGTGAACGTCAAATGAATGGATTTTCTAAGAATCGCGTCATTTTCGGCAAAAGAATAGAGAAAACTTTGAAGAAAGATCCGCTACTAATAAGAATCAGTAGATAGTAATGATTCCTCTCGAAAAAAAACTGAAGTCCAACAAAAATAATTTTTCCACACACCAGAACTATGACACTATTCTAAACATGTGTTTCGTCTACCAAGTTGCCGTTATTCGGAGTTGAGCAAAATTGTTCAGGGCTGAGCAACTCTTAAATGTCGTAAAAAAGTTTCTACCGAATTCATTTTATTTTCATCCTTAAAAAAACCATGAAATCCAAGTAAAAGTTCATTTGGATTGTGGAAAAGTTGATTTGTAATGTTGTCTCAAGAATATAAACGAAAGGGATGCAAGTAGGATATTGAATGAGAGATGTTCAATCGGCACAATTTGTTAATTGGGTCCTGAAACGCGATAAAACACTGCAATACAAATAATAACGGAGAAAATGTATGCAATCCAGCGATGACACTGTACATGGAGGTCAGTAGTACGAAATATAGCCATAAAGAATAACATACATCATAAATAATAAGTTTGAGACCAGAAATCAGNGGCCTCGGTCTTAGTCTTCCGCCGCAACCGCTGTCGAGGTGACGACGGAAGATCACTTCTTGGACGGACGGGTCACTGGTGAGGACGCGCAAGGTGGTAGGATTCGCAGATTGGAGGACGATATCGCACGGGCCAGACTTGAGGAGAGCGGCGAGGTTGACAGTTCAGTCCATTGAAAAGTTATATTTAGGGTTGCGTTTTTCGGATTTTTTTATTTTTTCATGTGTAGGAGGGGGCGGGTTAGTATAAGCTGAAGTTCAGGTTTCTGGGGTCGCAACCCTTGTCCTCCGGCAGCCATCTTGGAAAAAGGGATGCGGAGGGTTTTCGCGCTGTACCGCAACCCTACAGAAAATTTTATGAAACACTATCTGTAGCAAATTGGATTGTCTACAAATTTACTACTATTACTTTTTATCGTAAAATGGGAAATGAAAAAATTATCAAAAAACATAACTGGAAACTTTTAAACAAATTTTCTATAGGCCGCTATAACTTTTTTTGTTAAATCATCATAAATGTTTGCCAAAAACCAACTTCTTTGCCGGCTAATACCACGACTGATATCAAATTATAGCGACTTTAATGCTTCTCCTCACTGAAGAAATTTTTGCAGACGCTTCTTTCGTCCAGGAATATTGATAAAAACAAATCATCAAGTCGTTTCTTTCGAAAATGTCCGCTACTGATTCAGCAAAAACCTATCATCCTATCAAATAACAGGCAGCAAGTAATAATATCATCTAAGAGTAATTGTCCGTTTTCTTTGTCGGCATCGGGAATATAATAATACAATCAAATCGAGAAATCCCGATAAAAACTTGCAGAATGATGGATTTGCTGTTTCGAGCGATTTATATATCTGGACTTGAAGAGTCGCTCATTTATTTTGAGTGTGTAATGATAAATAAAAAATTCAGTAGGGAAGAGGTCTAAGTGATTTTGGAAAACTTGTCTGTCCTGAAGTTTGGGAATGTTAACAACTCTATAATCAAAGTATTGACTCTCGAAATTCTTTTCACTGACCGACTCAGCAATAAGTAATCCGTTGGCTTTTTGAAAAATTTGTGGATTCGGTTACCACTTAATTAATATAAATAATGGATTTGAAAATTGATATTCATATCTGGTGTCCCAAAATTGTAAAGAGAAATAAATTTTAAGGGATAACAAGGATTTTTCCCTATTAAATAGTGAATATCAGATTTGACCTTGATAATTACCCCGATACTCATATCAAGGTCAAGGTTCAAACGGAAACCAGTTTTGAAAAGTGTGGAACATTTCACATCAGGATATTATATTGGCTTCTACACGGTTACGACCTTGATATAGCCATCGGGGTGATAGTCAAGGTCAAATTTGATTTACACCATTTAATAGCCGGAGAAAAGTTTTTTGAATTTTTTTCCAAAATACATTTCTTGAAAATTCGGTTCCGTACTTTTGGAACATCCGTCAAGCATTAATGTTCTTGAATGCTTTATTATGATTTTCAACTGAGGAAAGTTTTGATTGAATACATACAAAGCAAAGAATTCTGCTTGTAGATTATTATTATTACAGAGTTACGCATTATAGGTACTAATGGGAATATTAATAAAAAATCATAAAGATCGATCGAGCCTTTAGGAAGATTGCGTCCACAAACAAGATATAGGAAATTTTTGTTAGTATATTGAACTTGATACTATTTGACAGGGAATAAATGATTGAATATAAAAAAAATGCATCGGCCGGGAATCGAACCCGGGCCGCCCGCGTGGCANCTCTGTTAGTAGTCCCACTGTGATTTAAAAGTGCATATAGATTATAACAAGTAGCCACATTTTCTCCTGCAAAATTGTCCATATCCAATCCTTCTAGAGGAAATTCGACGACATCATTCAATTTGCCTCTACTTTCCGTTGGAGAGAATCTTTTTAAATGTATTACTGAAATATAGGGAAACTTGTGGATTGATAGGGACTTTATGCATTTTCTCCTTTCCTTGCATTTCGAACACGTCGGTTTCCATATGGAACTTTTCTCCCTTTTTCGATTTGACTTATATGAATATTTTCAACTGGATACTACATTTTGAATAAGAACTTATATTCTTTCACAGAAAACGTCAATAAATTTTACAAATATATCTACTTTCCTCTTGAACCGCTTCATCCATGGATGAAAATTGTGTGAAAATCCATTTGGTAGTGATTGGTTTATTCAATAAGATTATTTTTAAACAACTGAAACTGAACTCAATCATTATTGGAGGAGTTGTGTTGAACTTAAAGACTGTGTTGGTTAGTTATAATCAAAGAATTATTAAACTGAAATCAAACTGAGCAGAAATAGTTCGATTAGTAATGAGTTAATTAATTTTAACACCCACGTGACAATCTTATACTTGTCATGATTGAGGACACATTTTTTGATTGTAAAAACAGATCCATAAATTGTTCTCTTGAATCGATCATTATTATGAATTAGTTGGTAGTTAATTAGAACAACAGGTGTCCTATGTTTTGAATTGAAATGTTTCAGCGTTATAAGAATTTTTATAGTTCCAAATGTGACAACAGAAAGAACATAAAAGAAATTTATAATGATGTTTTTGTCTTAATCAAATATGTACGAGGGTTATACTAAACGTTTGTAGGAAGTCAATTCACAGAAATGATGTGCATTAGAATGCTGTGAACTCATAATATTGTTCCAAAGTCTCATTGAAAAAAAATATTAGTTTTGTAAAATGGCTTCGGTGTGAAATTGAAAGAACAAATTATGCGCAAAACAAGAACATTCCGAAATTGGCCCGGTATAATTAAAATTAAGTACTTCCAATCCCACGGATTTGGCGACAGTAATGAAATAATAAATCATATCAATTTATGGCTGAACTACCGATAATATACTGGATATTATAAAGTACTAACTACGAAATTTAATTGATACTAAAACGGATAATTTATATTCGAGGAATTTTGGCAATAAAAATTTTGTGCCACTCTTCGAGCCGATAAACTAGTAATATATTGCCCATATTTCTATGAAATCGATGATATCTCACTGAACCCCGCTAACTATTTAATCGCAATATTTTTTTTGAATACCAGCAAATAGCTATTTCATATCTAATATTTCATACTTTCGCGTCTTCCCAACAATTCCTTATAATGCAAATAAGCAATAAATATTTTTTGATCCACGTATTGCCGATAAATAAAAAAACGGATCACTGTTTTTTTTCAGCTCGTTAGATCGAATGACCATCGAACGATATACAATAGAAATCTCCAAGAATTTCACGGTTAGTCCTAATAGTGTAGGAGATTATGTTTCGGAATAAATTATTATCAACGCGCTTCATTAACAAATTCATTATTAATATTTATAACTCTATAACAGTAAGTAAATACAGGTTAATTATTGTTTTGCATCGACGGAAAATAACCTGAATGACATTTTCCTTATTTATGGGCCATATTCCATTTTAATTTGAAAGGTTGTTTGATCGAATCGATTGAAAAAATCTCTGTGTGAATTTTGATATTCCGAAATTGACGAGCACGTAGAAATCGTTAAGAAACAGTTATATAAAAAAAATATTTTCTTAGTTCGATATTCTTTAAAAGCGCATTTTTTAGTTGAACTATATCTATTTCGATTGTATTTCAAATATTTTCAGTATGTCCTCTGATGTGTTCCTCAATCGTCAGCTTTCTGTAACTGGTTAGCGATTTTTGGTTTTTCTTTGTCTAGTTCTTTCTTTGTCATGTTT